TCAATATATTGACAGAGGAAAAAAAAACCTTCACAGTACATGAAGTGGAAACAATCACAATAAGCGGAGAGCACCATCACATTTTTGCCCAAAATAAAACAAAAATGTACTCCTATATACATAGATATTTGTTCTACATACATGCAAGAAGGTTGGAAAACAACTTTCTTTGGTTGGTGGAACTATGAGTGATTTTTTCCTGCTTTCTTAGAGGTCTCACATTTTCTTTTCTTTTTTTCTCTTTCTAATGAGGAAGTCTTCCCTTTATCATAGGAAAAAGAGATTCTGTATTGCAGAGCAGAAGGTGACCCACCCCTGCCTACTCAGGCCTCTCCAAGTCGTCGGGATGGCACGGCCGGCCCCCGAGAGCTCTGGCCTCTGCTCACAGGGCCTGGGGTCACCACTTCCCTCTGCCACATGCTCGGCCTCCTTACAGGACAGCAGCTACCACGCTGGAGCGAGAACATGGCAGATGTTCAGTAAGTGTTTGTGGAATTGAGCCATCCTTTTTTGTCTTGACTGAACCAGGATTTTGCTGACAGATACTCCAGGTTTTATGTCACCTTCACCCAGTGGTGCTCAATAGCCCTTCCCTCCATTCCTTCTCCAGGGCCACCCCCCCGGACATTGGGCGGTGTCTGGAGACATGTTCACTTATCCCAACACTGGGGCAGGGGTGCTGAGAGTCACCGGCTTCTAGTGGGTGGAGGCCAGGGATGCTGCCGATCCTCCTGGAAAGCACAGGAAGCCTCAACAGCAGAGACTTATCCCGTGACAAGTGTCAAGAGAGCCGAGACTGAGAGGCCCTGCTTGCCATTTCCCCTTCTTCTAAGCTCGCCGAGTGCTTTCCAGGCCCTGCCTGACGTATCAGGCGCGGTGAATTTACAGCCACAGCATCTCCAGGAGACAGAGCACGTTATTAATTGTTTGAGTCTGAAGAGGAACTGGAGCCGTAAGAAGACCTCGAAGGTCAGTCAGGGGGACTCTAGTTCTCTGCTCTGCTGCCGCAAGCCTCTCCGGGTGACATCAGACACCTTATCTGGAGTAAGCAAAGGGAAAGGATCTGAGCGACCTCCTAATTACTTTTCAGGGCTGTCATTCCAAATCTCAAGATCAGCGCCTGTCCTTTCCGGCATCATCTGTTACACTGATTATTTTTCATACTATGTTAAGAAAATTGGGTTTCACAGCTAGTAGATTTAATTTTTCTAAAATTAAATGCTCATATTCCAGAACACCTCCCAAAATGGGAGGTGGCTTCCATTTGCATTATATTTAACTGAAGGCATTTCTCAGAAGAAATAGAATATTAAAGAGTATCACCTGAAGGTCTATTAACCACCCCAGTTAGAGACTGAAATGAAAGGTTCCTAACAAAAAGGAAAACACATTGCTCGCAACCCTGACTAGTCTTCAGTATTTTGCCTCCAGCACAAAGCATTTTAATGTTCATTATAATGTCTCGTTTTAGAAAAATGGCTTTTCTCAAACAAGAGATGACTAACATGATATTAAACATCAGAATTTTTATTAGTTTAAGGCATTTAGGACTCAACCTTTTCTAATCTTAGAACCTACAGGACAAGGTTTTAAAAATCTTTATATCTATAAACAGTTCCGTAACTCATAAACTTCAAAAGATCTCATAATTAAAATATTTGAAGCCCATTTCCTCCATGCAACAAATATCTCTAATATAAACTTATATTTTATTAGGCAAACATAGAGCCCTTCAAATAGCTTGAAGAGACAGTCTTTCTCTGAAGAACAATTTCCCTTTCTAGTCATCTGTGTCATATAGGTTTGAGTAAGCGTAGGGAACAGAGAAAACCATGCAAAGAACACTAGAATTATAAGAGAGAGGAATATCCTTTCATCCGACATAATTCAAACCACTTGTTTAATAGCATTAGTCATTTTCTTTTAAAACAAATCAAAGAACGTTGTTTTATACTTCCCAAAGACATTCATTTCGGATGAGTCAAGGTGGCCTCCAAAAATACCATAAGCACTCACTTTTCAAATTGGTGAATTTAACCAAGAACTAGCTTCTGTGATTGTCTGTTCTCTTGGCTCAACAGAAAATTTTCTCTGAATCTGAACATCACAGACTGATGTTTAATCATCTGAAAGAAGAATCTACCTAAGCAGGGAACTGAAAACAGCTTAACTTTGAAATCTCAGGGCCCAATTTAGCAGGAAGCAAAGTGAACAAAAGAAAGATGGGTCTCTAAGAAGCTGCTGGAAATGAGGTTAGCACGAAAATGAAACAAGCTCACAGATGTATCTAGGTGTGAAAACTCACTGCTCAAGTACAGGGGCGGCCTGGTGATGTCAAACAAAGATACTCAGTCACCCACCACCTCATCTGAGTTTACAGACAAACTCTCATTCTTCTCAAACTTACACTTTAATACTGCGATCCTTACTGCAACAGACAGAAATATATAACCTCAACCTACCAACAGAGAGGAAATGCTCTTATTTCTTCCTGCTAATATCCAACACAGAATTCCCTTCAATTCTCATGGAGATTATTTCCTGTGAATGTTTCTATTCTGGGATATTTTCTCTGTGGTAAGAATTAGAAGAGAGATCACAAAACTGAAGCCCCTGTAGGGTTTAGAAAGGCAACACAGAGGAATGAAGTGGGCTTAGCGGAGACTAGGGTGACTTGGAGAGATAAAACTCTGTTTAGAAATAATGCCAGCTCTTGACTCAATGGCCAGAACACCAATCCTGGCAGAAATGAGATTTCAGACCCTTAAATTTTCAATACATAAATATGAACTGTTTGTTTAAAGAACTATTTATTGATTTTTAGAGAGAGAAGAACAGAGAGAAATATAGATGTGAGAGTGCAACATTGGTCAGCTGCCTCCTGCACGACCCCCCAATGGGAACTGAACTGGCAACCCTTTGGTGCATAGGATGGTGCCCAACCAACGAAGCCACACCAGCAAGGGCCATAAATATAGACTTGTAAATAAAAATTCCTAATTATTAAGCATTTGTAACTAATTTAAAAGTTTTTCTCTAATGGCTCTAGAATTTTTTTTATTGAATTTATTGGGGTGATACTGGTTTATGAAATTATATAGATTTCAGATGTACAATTCTATCACACATCACCTGTATACTGTATTGTGTGTTCACCAACCCAAGTCAAGTCTCCTTCCATCACCATTTATCCCCCCATGCCCTCCTCTACCTCCCCCATAGCACCTACTAATTCAAAATTTTAAACAATACATTTGCTGTCTAAAGAAATCTTGCCTGTGTGCTTGATTTCATCAGCCAATTTGCAACCTCAGTATTGGAAGAAGAAAGTGAGAAATGGCCAATCAAAGAGATGCTATCAGGGTCCCACCCTTAAGTTGTTGGTGAATTCTTGGGTCTTTCTTAATCATAAAGAACTTTTTCTAAAAGCATGACCACATCTAAAGTTCCTGACTTAAAATTTCAGGACCTTTTAAGTTTCAAAACATTCTGTCAGACATAAAGACCTTCAGAGCAAGAAGCTTTCTGGGTAGGTCAGAGGAAGGGAATAGTGGTCAAACACTTAAGATTCTGGTAAACCTGTCTCTTAAAGATGTGTTCCTGTTTTAACTAGCCAGCTAATATTAATAATAGGAAAGGAGCAAAGGGGAGGACAAACATTATAAGCATGGTCATATGGGCAGCTTCACCTGGAAGCTGCAACTTCACACTCCCCAGGGAACCACCAGTCCATTCCCTGCAAATCACTGGGGGAAGGAGCCCAACAAAGGGGAAGATGGGTGCATGCGCAGTGAAGTCTGGGCGACATAGGAAAGGTGTTTGCCTGTCAGTCTAACCTGGGAACAAAGATAACTGCCTAGGGGGTAGAGCCACTGTAAGCATTTGAAATCTTGGAAGGGTAAAATCCCCCAGACAAAGGAATTCTCGCTCTCTTGTTCCCCCTGCTTTGTTCCTGCTTCCTTGCACTTGCCCGTGTTCCCTCCATAGGCACGTGGCCCTGGAAGCCACATGGCCCATGGCCACCTAGACCCCACATACAATGGACTGCAGCTGGGAACAAAAGCTAGCCTGATGCTGGACGGGACTGTACAAATATAGAGTGGGATCTCTGGGCAACGGCTTTAATCCTAGCCCTGCTGAAGACAAAATGGGACTTTTCCTTGGCGGGATGGAGGGAGATGGGATGTTGGAAACTCAGGGGTTTAATTCCATAGAAAGAAGCTCTCCACAATGCCTCATCCTCCTGTGGGGGCCTCTGGAAATTCTTATTCCCACAGCACCCCAAGAACCCCACTTCCACCAGCAACAGGTGGGGACACAGCGCCTCACTGAAAACAGATGCATAGAGAAGATCATGAAAATATACAGCTGACAGCAGGGGCTTCTAAGCCAACATTGAGGCTGGTGGAAGAGAAAATTCCAAGTATTGAGAAATGCAAAGCAGAGGCTGTATATCACTGAGAAAAATGCAGTGAAATAGAAAAAACCAAGTTCATCTCATCGAGCCAGTAATATTTACAGCCTGTGGGTAGTGCCAAAATATTTCAGGAAATGCCAATGTCTTTCTTTGTAAAGCAAGGCCAAGCGTAATATTTAAACCCAACACATATAAATCACTGGGGAGAACAGGCAATCTACATTTTCTCACTCGCTCTACAAAGAATCTTAGCATCAAGATTCATGGTCAAGGTAGAACTCCATTCCCTCTCCAAAACTGAAGTTTCACTATCTAATGTTTCAAAGCCAGCATTTCTGAGAAGTTTCTAGACTATCTCTGTAAACAGTTAATGGCAATACAGAATGAACGAGTCAGGGCTCACACAGGCTGTTTCATTTCTCTTCCTCATTTCCCATTGCGGCCCCAGACATCTCCGGCCCATGGAGCCCCAACCACTCCTCTGAAGCAGCCAAGTCAACGCTTCCTTCTGAATTGGAATGAGGCAGGCCGGGCAAGACAAAGGCAAAGGCCAAAGCGCGATGTCCCTTATCAGGACAGGTACCTGTTCAGGCTTCAGCCCAGGCGGGACCCAGGCGTACTCCTCCAGGGCACAGCCCGAGTCGTCATCTGAGGTTGAGTTCCTCTGGAAGTCAAACATGAGTTTGCTGACGGTCTTCTCCATCTCCAGGGGCATCACTGTCACCATGTGCTCCTCCTGAGGGCACTTGCAGTGCAGACAGATCTTCCTGAAAGAAGCAAAGGCCGGAGGTGAGAAGGGGGCCAAAAACCCCAATTTTTTCAATTGGTCTGCCAGTCCCGAGCCCTTGGATCCCAAGCTATAAACACATTCCTTGGCAACCGGCTTTTGGCAAAAGCATGTACGGGAACAGAGCACAGCACGCCTGCCTGTGTAGAAGGCATGGCACCGCGCATGTGGAAACACCGTGGAAGCTCAGAGACCGCCAGGTGAGCATACTGAGGATGTTTAAGCACGGACCCCGACCTTTCCTTCTAAATCAATTCCCCAGGGGGAATGTCAAAATATCTTTTATTTTACTAGGTAGAACACTGAAGAAAGAGCATGACCACAATTTCCTTGACTGTAATAGTAATTAAACAGACATAATACATATGCTGACCTGAAATATTACCAGTAGATTTAACAAATACTGACAACATACCATTTTCATGAAAGGTTCCTAGACCTTGGAAAATGAATGTGGTTTTAAAAAGAACCGTAGGTGAGGTTTTCTTTAGAAGAGCAAAAATATTTTTTTCCCACTAAACAAATCTGGTCCTAAGATTACACGAGAAAGACATTTTTACCTCCACTAGGGATCCCCAGAGGTTTGAAATTCTAATTAGAAACCCAAATCTTTCCTACATTGGTCGTTTTTATAAGACACCGGGGATCATGCATGTGAATTCTTTCAAAAGGTAGCAGCCAATGATCAAAATCTCTCCCCCAAACTGAACATTCCTCTTTAAGGTTACCATCTGTTCCATTTTCCATGGCTACACAAATGATGAAGCAATAAAAAGGTTCATGTCAACAACACAAACAGATTTCTAGCTTCTATCAATAAAAGAGAAAAAAACACAGCAGGAAATTTTTAAGAATATACGTAAACTTTCATCTTTACGATTAGTTCCAGTAGCACCTTATAAAGGCAAACAGAGTCCATAATCCTAATCCTCACATGTGCCTGAATTTTTTGATAACAGCTTTGTTAAGATATAACTCACATACCATAAAATTCACCATTTTAAAGTGTATAATTCACTGGCTTTTAGTGTATACACAGAGCTGTGAAACTATCACCGCTGTCTAATTTTAGAACATCTTCGGCACCCCCAGAAGAACCCCTTTGCACTTCAGCAGTAACTTCCCACATCCCCTTTGCTCCAGGTCCTGACAACCACTAATCTATGTTCTATTTCTATGATTTTGCCTATGCTGGAAATTTCACATAAATGGAATCATACAATCTGTAGATTTTTGAAATTGGCTTCTTTCACATAGTATAATACTTTCAAGGCTCATCCATGTTGTAGCATGTGTCAATCCTTCATGGCCTTTTTATCGCAATATCACATTCCAGTGTATATTCTATTTATCCATTCATCAATTGGTAGGCATTTGGATTGTTTCCACTTTTTTACTTTTGTGAATTAATGCTACACTGAATATTTATGTACAAGTTTTGTTTTTGTTTTGTGTGTGTGTGTCTGGACATATGTTTTCAATTCTCTTGGGTAGAATTCTCTAGGAGTAGAATTGCTGGGTCATATGGTAACTTTAACAATTTGAGGAACTGTTAAATTGTTTTTTCAAAAAGTATATGCACCATTTTACATTCCCACCATCAACTGGATGACAGTTCCATTTTCTCTGCTTCCTTGCTACACTTGTTTTTTACTTTTATTTTGATTGTTGCCATCCTAGTGGGTTTAAAGTGGTATCTTACTGTGGTTTTGATTTGCACATTTTTAACAGCTAATGGTGTTGAGCATCTTCTTATGTGATTATTATATATCTCCTTTGGAAAACTGTCTACTCAAATCCTTAGTCCATTTTAAAAATTATTTGTCCTTTATTAATTAAGCTGTAAGCATTTTTAATATATTTTCTGGATAAGAGTCCTTTGTCAGATAGTAGTATATGTTTTGCAAAAATTTCCCCCCATTATGTAGGTTTTCACTTTCCTGTTTATACTTGCTGAGCACAGAATTTTTTTATTTTGATGAAGTCCAATTTATTTTTTTCTGTTGTTGCTTGTGCTTTGATATTATAGCCAAGAAACCATTCTCTGATTTAAGGTCATGAAGATTTACTCCTGTATTTTCATCTAAGAGTTTTATGGTTTTAGCTCTTATATTTGAATCTATGTTCCATTTTGAGTTAATTTTCATATATGGCATGAGATAGGAGTCCAAACTCACTCTCCTATGGCCATCCAAGTGTCCCAGCACCATTTGTTAAAAGTCTGTTCTTTCCCCATTGAATTGTCTCAGCATCCTTCTCAAAAATCAGCTGATCATAAATTTAAAGGTTTATTTCTGGACTTTCAATTCTATTCCATTGATCTGTATGCCTACCCTTCTGCCAGCATTACACTGTCTTTATTACTGTTGTTTTGTAGTAAGTTTTGAAATTGTGAAGTGAGAGTCCTCCAACTTTGTTCCTCTTTTAAAAAACTGTTTTGGTTCTTCTTCATCCCTGGCATTTGCATCATAAAATATAAATTTTAGGATTAGCTTGCCAATTTCTGCAAAAACATCCTGCTGGGGTTTTGATAGGGATTGCACTGACCCTGTACATCAATTGGAGAATACTGCTATCTTAACAATACTGTCTTCCAATCCATGAACAAAGGATATCTTTCTATTTCAGTATATTTTAATTTCTTTAAATGCTATTTTTTCTGTTATAAGTCTTGTTAAGTTTATTTCTAAGTAATTTATTCTTATTGATACCAAATGCAATTTTTTGCTTAATATCATTTTCAGATTGTGACTGTATAGAAACACAAATGACACTTGCACATTGATGTTACATCATACAATCTCGCTGAACTTGTTTATTAGTTCTAACGGTGTGTGTGCGTGTTTTCCTTAGGATTTCCTGTATGCCGGATCTGTGAATAGAGACAGTTTTCTTTCTTTCTCTTCAGTCTGATGTCTTTGATGTCTGTCTGGCCTCACTGTCCTGGCTAGGCCTCCAGTGCAACAGCGACTAAAAGCGGCACGTGTGGGCATCCTGCCCCGGCTCCTGATCTTAAAGGGAGCCAGCCAGTCGTTCACCATCAGGCATGGTTTAGTTTAGCTGTGGGCTTTCCGTAGGTGCCCTTCAGCAAACTGAAGAAGCCTCCTGCTCTGCTAGTTTGTTCAGTGTTTTCTTTTTCCTATCACAAAGGAGTGTTGGGTTCGAATGCTTTTAGCATCTGTTGAGGTATCAGTTGGTTTTTGTCTTTATTCTGTTAAGGCGTCGTGCCCAAATATGCTGTGGAAACAAAATGAGCTTAGCCCAGCCGAGTCAGGCTTGTCGGATTCTCCCACCTCCTGCTTTCTATCGCTTGGGAAATACGCACAGAATGAACGCGCCTGTGCGTCTGCTTTGCATCTGCAAACTCAAAGACATTTTATCCCAACCTTGGCTGTTCCTTTAAAAAACAGTCAGAGCTCATTTTAACAGTAACTAATTAATCAGCTACTTTAAAGAAGTCAGGGGTTTGGGCAGTCATCAGGTTTTGTTCCTCTCCTGAATTTTTTTATGCCAGCTTATGACTTAAGGAAAAAAAGTCTTCATGTGTTTAAGCAAATTTAGGAAGTTCTTTGGTGACTAATAGTTTTTACTAGAAAGTCATTCTTTTAAAACAAAATATATATATATACGTATATAAATGTATATACCAAAGTCAGATTCTAGAATATTCATCAGTGGAACTTATTTAGCAATGCAGGGAAGAGCACAATATTTAATGCTGGACGGATGTGATCTAATGTACTAAAGCTCCAGGGGAAGGAAAAATAAGGCAGCGGCGAATTGTATAATCAGAATTATAGAATCCATTCCAGAACGAGTCCCACTGAGGAGAAGCACGAACACAAAAGGGGAGCAGGCCCGTCCCGCGTGGCCCCGTGGCTGAGCGTCGGCCCATGAGCCAGGAGGTCACGGTTCGATCCCGGTCAGGGCACGTGCCTGGCTTCGGCGCGATCCCCAGCAGGGGGCGGGCAGGAGGCAGCCGATTGACAGTCTTTCTCATCAGTGTTTCTCTCTGTCCCTCTCCCTGCAATCAGGATTGGGGTGGGGCATGCATGAGCAGAATGCACAGCCCTGGACTTTCTTAAACATCATATTCAGGAGTCCAGACTGCACCAAGAAAGGCAATACCACCCCCACTTTCCAGAGAAGAAGACAAAGGCTCAGAGAGGTTAAGCAATATGTTCAAAGTCAGACCTAAATAGCAAGCGGAACAGAGATTCAAAGAAGGATCTATCTGACTCCTGAACAAAATCAATTACCTATAGTCAGCATACCTGGTTCCAAGCACAGAATTCCCTTCTACTCCTGGACAGCACACACATTCAGAAAAATCAAAACCATGCCCTGGCCAGGAAGCTCAGCTGTTAGAGCATCGCCGGGATACACCCCGGTTGCAGGTTCGATCCCCAGTCAGGACACACACAGAATCAATGAATGCATGAGTAAGTGGGACAACAAATCAATCTCTCTCTCAGTTCTCTCTCAAAATCAATAAATAGAGAAAGAAAGAAAAAAGAAAAATCAAAACCAAAGAGGAAAGAAAGTAGGAAAGAAAATAAAAGTTATAAATGAAAAGTGGTAAATCGAAACCAGGAGGACCTTGTATTTCCCTGCTGGCTGCCTGCCTTCCATCTTCATTTATAACTAACAGGCACTCCCGTGGCACAGCATTTTTGTTTGCAAAGAATTTTCAACCTCAGAGTGGCTCCATCACAGCCTTTGGAAAGACTAATTTAATAACCTCTGTTTACAAATGGGGAACCTAAGGCCCAGCTGCTCAGAAAGGAGCAGAGGGTCAGAGGTAAAGTGAAGAGGATTTCTCATGATCCTCATGTGTCTGCCTTCTTGGCAAAATGCACACAGCAACACCCAACAGCTCTCTCTTTGGGTACACTGATTAAAGCTTTTGAGGAGTGTGCCAGGAAATATATGATTTGGTCTTTTTTTTTTTTTAAATAGACACTTATGAAAATAGAACTT